CGACAAAAATATTAACCCGTTTATAACTTGTTAATTAATGTTTAAAAACACGTAAACAAATAGCATGCAACCCACAATAATAATTCATATACATGTAAATAAACATAAACATGTACATAAAAATATCGTAATGCTCAAATAATTTGTACATAAGCATGCATCTCAGTTAAAGTCTCATGAAGACTCACCTGAATAGCTCTGTTTGGCTAAACCTCGTCCCTGAGTAATATCCTATAACATGTAATTATATTTCAATAATTAGAGTATTGGCATTTCCCCAAAAAATCAACCCGAAAGTCAAATAGGTCAACTTTGGGGTAAGAATGGTCAACGGGTCAACCCCAAGCATACCTCGTCGCCATGTACCCCTCCCCAATGGAATTCTTTTCACATCCAAAGTAAATTACGACGTATTAAAGCCAACATTTAATTATATATGATTCTCGTTATAAAAACGTCCGATCCCACAATTATCTAGTCACAACTCCCGAAATAAGTTCTTAAATTATTTCTTATAATTTAAATATAAAACTTCAATTAATTAATAACTTTTACAATTGATGTCCAAATCTTGACCAACTTAATCGAAACATCCCGATTTATTTCGATTAATCCAAGTAAATAAACGAGCCTCAAATCTCTTTTCAACAAAATCTTATATACAATATTAATCCCAAATYGTATCCAAATTTACAGCCCCTACGGTTTAATATTAAACTCGTATTTTGAGTTTTTGTACCCGAATCTCGTCGAGCCGCCGCCACAGCAGCTTCTAGCCTAAACCGCTTGACGTACAAGCCACCATAGCCCACGAGACTTGTACCAACAGAAAGATAATTGAAGAACGAAACCAACCATATATTATACATCAATTTTGGTTGAGTATTTTACCTCCAATCGTCGTTTTTGTGCGGAATGACCCTATGCCGCTTCAAACTCGATATCTCTCTCGTTTCTTGATGAAATCTAGAAATTCCAAACACGTTTACTCCCTTACATCCTTAGGAATGTCTCCACAAAATTTCAGCCGAAAACTCCAATTTATAGGGCGTCAAACAATCTCTAGAATAGGAAAAACGTGATTTGGGGAATGATTTCCCAAATTTCAATCATTTCCAAATTAGTTTTCTACTTTTGGCAGAACTAATCCCTTCTGTTTTTCTTTCTTCATTTTCATCCCAAATCAATTAAATACAAAATGTTTCATTTCCTTTTTTATTGATTTTATTTATTGCAATAAAATCATATTTTTCGAGTATCGACACTTTAATCCCGTATGTCATTACTATTTAAATTTTAACCCTTAACATTTATTTATTTTACGAATCATTTTAGGGTGTTACAAAAAACACAAAAGATCTTGTTGGTTGTGCGAGAAGAGGTGGAAAACAATTTGTAGGCTTTGGTTGAACATGTTGTGTTACATTGTGGTAAAAAAAAGTTGTGATTTCATGTGCCACCTAAACCACTAAACCCATGGTGAGAATTCTTTGGTAGCAAACTATACAAGACAATCTCCAAACCACTAAACCTTTGGTGAGAATTCTTTGGTAGCCTACAACCAAGAACTCATAAGTCATAAGGGGCTACAAATTTCAATACTTACTGATGCGGGACAGAATGTTACAATACCAATAGTGTATTAGGTAACACAAGATGTTGTGTTACATTGTCGTAGAAAAAGATTGTGGTTTCATGTGCTACCCAAAAGATTGTGGTTTCATGTGGTAATTTAGGAATATAAAATCAAAATTAATTAGAAGTTTGAAACGTATGTAATAAATAAATAAATATTTAATCTAAATTTAGTAATTTACTAACATGCCCTTTTACATTAATTTAAAAGGAATAATTAATATATTAAAATGACTGGTTGAGATTAGATCTCACATTTATCACAAACAAAACAGTTCTCATTTGATTAAGCTCATTGAAGGAATAACTGACTAGTTTGTGGTAACCGTGAGATCCAATCTCAACCACAAATCAATAGATAAATTAGGAAATTTATAATTTTGATAATTTTGAATTAAAATTTTAATGCAAAGACATTTTAGGTATTTTCTCTCCTCTCTTCTCTCTTCTCACTCCGTCCTCCGGCCACCATCCTCCGGCCACCGTCCTCGGGTGATACCACTGTGATACCTAAAAATATTGACTCTGTTAAACAAAAAACACAGTGTATGCATTGTGATACTACTGTGTTACATCTCCGATTGACCATACAAACGAACTCAGTGTAATACCCAAACACATATATGATACATTGTGATACCATTGTGGTATCATCGAATGATGGTGGCCGGAGGACGAGGAGAGAAGAAAGGAGAGATGAAAGTTTTAAAATACCTAAAATGTTCTTGTATTAAAATTTTAATTCAAAATTATAAATTTTCTAATTTATCTATTGATTTGTGGTTGAGATTGGATCTCACGGTTACCACAAACTAATTAATTCTCATTTGAACCAAGCTCTCTTTCTCTCTCTCTCTCTCTCTCTCTCTCTATATATATATATATATATATATATATGCAGGATCATATGAAAACCATCTAATTCTTAGAAACCGTGTAAACTAATTTCGACCAATAGGAAAATTCCTTTTTTTTTCTTAATTAAATCTAATCATTAAAGGTAGAATTGTCATTTATATTGTTTTTGATTAAATAAAGAAGTCATTAAGAATCTTAATTAAGGTAACATAATAAAGAAAATTTTAGAAATGGTAATATTTTAATGATTTTTTAAATTAGAATTTTAAAAATTAAATGTTGTTATTTGGTTTCTCGGTTTATTAGTGGTAACAATATGAAAATTGAAAATTATTATATTCATTAATCAATGAAATCAGTAACAGATCCAAACAAAGATTCATGAACCGGTAAAAATATAATCAGCTGTGAAACAGATTCATGTTAGATTTGTTCATGAAAACGTTCATTGAGAAGCTTGTTTTATGAAACATATGCAAATTGATTATATTTGAAGGTATACATTGACTCTACGAAACGTGTTCACTTAATGGTTAACAAAACATGTAATGGTAAATGCATTAACTCTATGGAACGTGTTCGTATTAGAAGAAATTGGCTGATGAAATGGGTGCATAAAGAAAGTGAAACCATTTCATAATTGCTAAGAAAATGTTGTGTAATTAGCGAACAGTGAAACAATTTCATTATTACAATGAAACGGATCCATCTACCAATAACATGAAAATGACAAATGTTTTATCAAGCATTACGTTGATTAGTGTATTGATGAAACTGTGAAACCATTTCGGTCATGAAATGTAATAGTAAATTTATTATTATTATTATTCAAAAGGTTTCATTATGTTAAATTGATTATAGTGTGTTTTATTTTTATTGTTGATCTATTTTAATGATGAATGCTATTTTTTTTTATAATATTTGAACATAAAATTAATATATTATTTTACAAATGATTATGTTTTATTAATATTACGATATACATTATATGGTTGCCATCAATATTACCATTACCAAAATTACCATTTTGCCCTTTTAGAGATTATAAAATATATAGTTTTTAATTTCCTAATATAACCTAAGATAATCTTGACCATTGATCAAGAAAATGGATGAATGAGATTGGTTTACATGGTTTATACAAATGAGGACGGTTTTCATTTGATCGTTCCTCTCTCTTTCTCTCTCTTTCTCTCTCTCTCTCTCTATATATATATATATATACATATATATATATATATATATAGGGGCTAATCAAATGAGAACTAATTAGTTTGTGGTAACCGTGAGATCCAATCTCAACCACAAATCAATAGATAAATTAGGAAATTTATAATTTTGATAATTTTGAATTAAAATTTTAAT